ACATTGTCACCCTGAGATCTGAGAGCGCATAAGACGTCTGAAGGGGGCTGTTAGACATAACTGATAACTGATGTTTGGACAATGCCTTCTCACTCTCCCTCACCTTATCTGCCCTACTTTTAGATAGCCCACTCTATTGAAACATGAGCAGTAACCAGAATGGGGTGTGTGTGGAGATTATTAGGGGGAAATACAGCAGAAGATAAATGATTCCAGATAACAGAGAAGGAGCTCAGACAAATATCATCCAAAGGAGATGGGGTTGAGTTAGAAGAACTAAGCAAGAAAAAAGAGGGGAAAAAAGCCATGACAAAGAAATGCAACCATCCTCGAGGCACTAGGAATTCCATGCAGCTAAAGCCCTCATTAACAAGTAATAATTCTATGTTTATAGGCACAATGCGATGCTTGAGTCAACATCCTGGGAAGACAGTAGAAATCTCTGAGACTTGGAATCAGAAGGCAACTATCTCCATATTTGCCGGTTAAGATTATATAATCTAGGTAAATCATTTAAAGTTATTAGTGAGGTGAGGGAGATGGCTCCGTGGGTATTGCCACCAAGCTTGATAACCTGAGTTCAATCCCTGGAGCCTACATGATAAGAGAAAACCAACTTACACAAGTTGTCTTCTGATTTCACACACACACACACACACACACACACACACAGAGGCCAAACTAATCTAGGTGTCCCCCAAGAGACGCTCTAGAATCCAGTGATTTTACATTGTGCCAAGTTGAAAATAGGATGAAATGGTCTCCCAAAGCCTGGCACGCCTTGTATTGCAAGCTTCCACTGTGTGTCTGGGGACTGGAGTGGGGTGGCCGTCACTCACGGGTGCCCTTGGCAGATCCTCGTGGGATGCAAAGTGGGCAGCTGGAAATGCACTTCTGAGTTGAGAGAAGCAGAAGAAATGCCAGGGGGTTGCCAGCTATCGGAGAGGTCTTTAGATGAAACCATTGGGGGAGGAGAGGGAGGGAGGGAGGGAGGGAGGGGGAGGGAGGGAGGGGGAGGGAGGGAGGGAGGGAGGGAGGGGAAACTCAAGGGCGGATCCCTAAAGGTCGGGTGACCATAAAGAACCAACAGTCCCTTCCCACTTACAAGTTCACCCTAGCCTCCATCTGCTTTGTTTGGTTAACCTCCACCCATCACACTGAGGGGCCAGATTTTAATTCATGATGACTTTCATTTGGTTGCAAGTATATCTAGTACATTGTAGCAGGATTAAGTGATAAACACTAGAATGGATTAGTTTGGTCCTTCATTAAGCTTATCATCTTGCAGTGAAGACGGCCCACAAGCACGTAAATAAGGAAACTGATAAGCTAAGCATTTGCAGATGAAATATCATACACTGATATCCAGGGGAGGCTTCCTTGGAGGGGACAAAAGTCCTCACTGTGTAACTAGCCTTGGCGTTAGCATCAGAAGCATGAGTTGGAGTAAAGATGGATGCCCCAAAGAAAGTGACTTGGAAAAGGATTCATCAGTCTCCAAGACTGACCAGGGTCCTCAAGCCCTGCACTATCATGATGCTCAAACCTAAATACTTCTCTGAGGAGTGACTGGGTAGTTGATTCATTTACAGGTCCAGTTGACTAATGTCCATTGAGCAGGGTTAAATTACGTTGACACCACTCTGCAAGTCACTGCTAGAGGATAAAAAGAAATAAAACTAAAAACTAAGATGCCTTGAGTCTGAGTAAGCAAGATTGGTGTGAGAATTAGTCAAGACTCCTTGTCAGCATGATACATTTGGGGAGCAGGATCAATTGAAAAATCCCCTCCATCAGATTGGCCTTTGGACATGTCTATGGGGGCATTTTCTTGATGGCTAGTTGATGGAGGAAGATGAGGTCCGCTCTGGGTGGTACCATCCCTGGGCATGCCTTTAATCCCAACGTTCAGGATATGGAGAGATAAATGGATCTCTCCAGGACTACACAGTGAGACACTATCTTGTGTGTGTGTGTGTGTGTGTGTGTGTGTGTGTGTGTGTGCAGATTCAGTGAGATGGCTCAGTGGCTGAAGGTGCTGTTGCCAAGACTGATATCTTGAGTTTGATGCTGAAATCCACATGGTGCAAGGAGAGAAACAACTCCTACAGGTTGTCATATGATCTCCTCATGTGAGCAATGCATGCAAGCATCCTACCGCCTACTAAATAGATATATACTTCTAAATGTTAAAAGATACATATTAATACATTTCTAGTTGTACACCAACAACTATCATCATTGCTATCTGGTTTTAAAATTTTTATGACCTTAAAAAAAAAAAACTTGTATCTAGTCACAGTTGCTCCTCACTCCCATGCCTGGCAGTGGGTAATCTCGAATTCACAGCCAATTTCTCTACATTGATGTCGGCTTTCTGTAAACATCTCAGTGGAGGCCTCCCTTGTGGGACACAGCGTTTAACACGCATCCATGTCACACACGGTGCCAGCACTTTGCTCCTTTCTGTCATCCAACAACATCCCATGGTGTGGCAGGTTGAACTGTGCTTCTACTGTGTCGTGAGTAGGGTTGCTGCTGACATTCATGCTGGAGTTTCATAGGTATGCAGGTCCTGTTTCTCTTGGGCAAATACCTGGGTTATATGGGAAATGCATATTTCATCGTCAAGAAACTGTTGAACTATTTTCGGAATGTCTGTGCTACCTGACTTTCTCATGAGCAATGTGTGACGGTCCTGCTGTCCCCATCCTCACCAGCTGCCATTAGCATTTCTCTATATTAGGGTCATTCTAGGGCAGGTGAAGTGATATCTCATATGGGCTTATTGGATTTTAATAACTAATAATATTGAACACTTTAAAAAACTGACCACTCATACTTTGGTAAAATGTCATTTCAATTCTCTAACAACCTTCTTTTACTTAATGTCTTTTCCCCCCTTGGGTTTTTGAGATAAGATTTCTCTGTGTGACTTTGGAGCCTGTCCTGAAATTCCCTCTGTAGACCAGACTGGCCTCAAACTCAGAGATCCACCTGCCTCTACCTCCCAATGCTGGGATTAAAGGCATGTGCCACCAACACCCAATTTAATGTCTTTTTAAAATAAGATTCTACACATGATTTAAAAAAGAAACATATAATAACTGACTTTCTGAATCTGGCCTATTTCACTTAGCATCGTATTACATCCAGTTCTATTCCTTTCTTGAAAGCAACATAGTTTTGCATAGTTTTGTTCTTTATGGATGAAAAAATGCTTCACTGTATGTATACATATCACATTTTATCCATCCATCTGTTGCTGAACACCTAGGCTAACTCCAAAACACGACTATTTCGAATAGAACTACAATAAACACGGTGTATAGGTTCCACCATGTTATCCTGACTTAGATTCCTTTGGATGTATACCCAAGAATGTGATAGCTGGGTCATATGGCATATTTCTAACTTTATTTTTTTTAAGAAATATATATATGGTTGTTTCCATGATGACTGGGGATTGGTTTCTATTTCTCTGTGTCATTGTCAGCATTTGCTGTTTTCTTGATGTAGTCATTCTGACTGGAGAAAGACAGGCTCTGGGTTTTGTTTTCTTTTGCATTTTCCTGATGGCTAAAGACATTAACATCTTGATTTAAAAAGTGTCTACTCAGCTCCTTTACTCATTGATTGAACTGTTTGTTCTTTTGGTTATGATGTTGTTGTTTGTGATGGTTTGAATGTAATTGGCCCCCCATAAGCTCATTGGGAGTGGCACTGTTAGGAGGTGTGACTTTGTTGGAGTAGGTATGGTCTTGTTGGAGGAATTGTGTCACTGTGGAGGCAGAATTTGAGGTCTCATATATGTTCAAGCCACGTCCTGGACCCTAAACCAATTCCTGTTGCCTTGAGTCAACTACTTCTCCAGCACCATGTCTGCCTGCATACTGCCATGATGATAATGGACTAAACCTCTGAAAATGTAAGTCACCCCAATTGTGGTCCTGGTGTCTCTTCACCGTAATAAAAACCCTAACTAAAACACTGTTGTTTAAATTTCATGTGTATGTGTGTTTTGCCTGCATGTCTGTCTGTTTACCATGTATGTGTCTGGTGCCTGTGGAGGCCAGAGGAGGCCATCAGGTTCCCTGGAACTGGAGTTACGGGCTGTTATGAACTACCATGTGGGTGTAAGACTCAAACCTGGGTCCTCGGGAAAGTGACCTTTGCTCTTACCTGCTGAACTATCTCTCTAGCCCCTACTGAGGTTTTTTTGAGACAAGGTCTGACCAGATAGCCATGGCTGACCTGGAAGTCACTACATAGACCAGACTGACTTCAAACTTCCAACAATCCCCCAGCTTCTACGTACTAGAATTATAGGAGTGTGTCAGCGCATTCCATCATGAGTTTAATTTTTCAAGTTCTTTAAATTCTGGATATTAATTCTCTATTGAGTTGATGGCTGGCAAACATTTTCTCCTGTTCTGTAGGCTATACTCTTTGCTATGCAGAAACTATTTAGTTTGATAAGATCACATCTGCCAATTATTATTCTAATTACCTGGGCTAGCAGAGTCCTGAGCCGTTATCCTTTGTCCGTGTTGAAATGGGATTGTCTTCCTATCGCTGTGTTACAAACCATTTATTAATTACAGATACATTATCAAATACGTGATTTGCAGTTGTTTGTTCCAAGCAGGTGCCTCATTTCCTCAATTTGTTCTTGTTTACCTTTAAGATCTTGTGTGGAGAAGACAAGACAGAGCCGTGCTTCAGGATGGGGCACAGAGGGTGGGGCGAAGGGGACAGATAGCTCCATTTGTAAGTTGTAACAAGCATATACCGAGTGTCTTTAGAGCCCCTGGGAGTCAAAGGGTTATAAGCAGCTGTTTGTTGAGACCTGTTTACAGTCTAGTTAATCAGTAATCCAGAATCCCAAAGTGGGGACGCGCCGAACCCTTCCAAAAGGTTTTCTAGGCTTACGAGAGGGAGAGAAATGAGTCCGGGAGGCATCGTGGCTACTATCCCAGAGTCACAGAAATAATCCCCAGCGTTGCAGAGCCCGTGTCCAGTCTCCTGCTGGTGGGTCAGGTGCAAGGCAAGGCCTGGCCGATTTTTGGCTCTGGATCCCGACTGGCAGAGGATTTCTAAGAGAGCTGGAGGCACATTTCAGAGCCACTGGGATGCCAGGCATACCTTCAGCCTTCCTGCTCCTCCTCCTCCTCTCCAGGTTAGTTGCCCCTGTGACCTTTCGTCACCACCGCTACGACGACCTCGTGAGGACACTATACAAGGTGCACAACCAATGCCCGGACATCACGCGGCTCTACCACATCGGGCGCAGCGTGAAGGGGCGGTACCTCTACGTGCTGGAGTTCAGCGACCACCCGGGAATCCATGAGCTCTGTAAGTCTTGAGTAGTTCTGGGGGACGTTGGGAAACTAACACCTACAAATCCAGAGACGGTGGTTGCTGCAGCGGTGGAGATCTCCATATGCAACACATTACCTCTTCCTCCACCTGAGAAGGCAGGCCGTTCTACTTGTCCCCGGCGAGCTGCGAACCCAGTTCAGGCTCCAGCACATTCCTCCTTCCCGGTTCTGTTTGCTCAAGACTTCAGGGGTAAAGGGTATCTTCCTTCCCTCCACCCTCGCCTCCCTCCCCTCACACCCCTGGTCTCTTTCTCTTATTCCTTCTGTCAGGGTCCAATGGCTTGGGAGCAGAAATAACTGACCTACTAGTTCTCTTGAGGGGGCCAGGCAGATCTCTTCCAGGATGAGCACTGACCTAACCTGGTGTTCTAAAGAGAGTTTGGGCTTGGGATATTTGTTTCTTCTCTGTTGGTTTGCTTCTGCCATCAGAGCAATCCATATTCGCTTCGAAAATAGTTCATGACCAGATAGACAACACAAGAAAGGCCCATCTCAAAACAGCCAACCCACTGAAAAAACTAGAAATTGGGTAAGGAAAGCATACCAAGCTGAAGCGCAACCCTACCACTCAAGAACAGCTGCACAGATTCATGTCGCTCCTTCCGCACGTGATGTGCAATCCTACCTCTCCAATGCACGTGTCTCCACAGCAATGGAATCATACTGTAGCTGTTTTCCCTGGTCTATGAATGCAGCTCCATGGCATCATTCGCGGTTGTATAATACGCTGTTGCCTGGTTCCATTAACTGCTCACGTATCTGCGAACATTGATGATGTCTCTAGTCTCCTGTTGCTTTGTTCACAACAATGGTGACATTTGAGTTAAGTCACATGGCTTGTGCCAGTTCCTCCTTCAGACTGTCAACAGCAAATCTTTCTCTCCCTCCCACACCCCAGTCCTGCTCTAGTCTCCATTACAATTTGCCTTAAATCATTGTACATCACTCCCAACGGGCCTCCCATCCAAAGATGGCCGTTCTCTGAACCCATCTTCTCCCAGCATGCCTGGGAGATGCCAGGATCGGTTCTTCATTACTAATATAGTCTTCTTGCGCTCCTGCTTTAAGGGTACAGCAGATACTGACCGCAAGAGCTTCAAGATTTTATGCAGAGAAAGCTCAGGAAGAGAGACATGGTTCCCCGGAACTAGGGTCTTTCCCAGGAAGGCACCTGCTTTTACTCAGATCCCATCATGCTCGGGAGCTTAAGGCTGTTGATGGACTTGATGAGGGTCTCTCCTTAGGCCACACCCCCTTCTTGGCTCTCCTATCCTTCCAGAACTCAAGGCCTCTCTTGAGGTTGTTGCAGACAATGCTGGCCGTCAACGTATCTCTTTTCCCCTGAGTTAGCAGGTCTTTCATTTGTTCCTTACATTCCTTCATTCTACAAATATTTACCCATTGCCTACTGGATAAAAGAGCTCTAGCTGGGGTTGCAGAGATGGCTCAGCAGTCAAGAGAGCGCTTGCTGTTTATAGAGGCCCCAAATTTGGTTCCAAGCACCCAGCAGCTCACATCCACCTACAACTCCAGTTCAAGGGGATCTGATACCCTTTTCTGGGCTCTATGGAACACACAGACACACACACACAGACACACATACACAGAAAGAAAGAAAAAAGGGAGGGGGAATCTATACAAAAGAACTTTCAGGTAGGCGCGCTGACACTTTTGTAGGCTTTAGAAAAACAGCAAAGAATAATACAGGCTTTCCCCCAATGGGCTTGAATTATAGCGGACTAAGACCAGCAATAAATGGGGCGTGTGTAAGTGGTTGGCGTGGCAGATGCAGTAAGTTCAATAGCCAGGGCTTAAGCAGGGAAGAGAGAAGGCATGCATAATGTGCGGCAATCCAGAAAAGCAGAGGTGTTCACTGGTCCCCCAAGGGCTTCTCTGGAAGAGGTGGTGTTGAGCACAGATCTGAAGGTCTCTGAGGGGAAGGGCATGGCAGGCTAAGGGAAAAGAAAATGCAGCCCCAGGAGCCAGAGCTCAGTGGGTGCTGAAGTCAGAGCCAGGTGTCGAGAGTATCGGGCACCAGGGAGCTTGTTTGGGACCTACAAGCAGGTAGACCCATCTTGGCCCTTGCTTTGAGTGAAGTGAGATGCTGCTGAGAGTTTTAGACAGAGAAGTGACGCACTTTGACTTAAAGCTGTTTAAAGACAGCTTGGGATGGAGGCCAACAATGGCAGCTCCTGGACCAGCTGCCTGTGCTGGTGAATGAAGGGGTTCTGTTGTCTGTTTGTTTAACTTTTATTGATTTTTTTTATTTCACATCATGTTCCGATCCCACTTATCTCTCTATCATCTGAGTAAATGAAGTTTCACAGAACACCATAGCACTCATTTTTTCTTGAATTATCTGTGCGTGCTTCCTTGGAAAGTTGAGTAGCTGTGACAGTGATAACAGTGTCCACAAAGCCTAAAGATTCCATGCCAGTCCCTCCTTGTCCTTTACATCAAAAGTGTTGTCAACCCCTGACTGGGGCGCAGGGATGCCAGTGGAGCCACACAGACGCAGGAAGACGAGAGGGAGAGGTGTTCCAAAGACGCAGGTGTGAGAGCTCCAGCCCAAATGATCGCTGGCGGTGCTTATTATGGGAAATGGTTGTATTCTGTCTCTATTGAAATTAGAAGCAGAGGGCTTGCTAGTAAGCACCCTCTGAACACGCAGCACAGCGCTGGGTGAACCAGACCAGCGACTCTTACACCTGAGTCTCACGTTGTTTGGAGAACTAAGAAAATAGAGGAGACTAAATAGATTTTCCAAATTTTATTTTACCAAAGACAAATACCTGCTATTTGTGGTCACAAACATTTCCTTAAAAAACAAAAATGATGAGAAAGGGATTGGGTGTGGTGTTGCACAAGTCTTTATTCCCAGCACACGGAAGCAGATGCTGGAAGACCTCTGTGGGGCCAGCCTGGTCTACATAGAGAGTTCCAGGACAGTCCAGGTCTCCATATCTCAAACAAACAAACAAGAAATGTGTGTGAGAGAGGAGGGAGGGGGAAGAAGGAAGGATGTGAAGGAAAAAAGAAAGACAAAGATTAAAGAACTAGAGTATGGGTTGAATAAAATAATATTTTTCCTGAGATGGGTCTTTCTACGTAGCCTTGCTGGCCTATGTAGACAAGGCTGGCCTCAAACTCACAGGGATCTTCCTGTCTGACACCCAAATGCTGAGACTTAAGACAAGTGCCACTATACAGCATATTATTTTTTAAAATATGATCCTTGTGGATTGAAAGCATTCTTTTAGAGAGCCTTGCTATATACAGGAATACAAAGATAAATAATGATGGATTTTTCTCTAACCATATGCTAAGATCATCTACTTGACTAGTACTAGGTCCCATAAAAGATGCAGGACATGTGCATATATAGGGAGAGCCCAGAACAGTAAGTACCATTAAAGGGAAGGCCGCAAAGGACTCACTTCTAGCAAGAAGAGTTCAAGGTGGTGACACAGACCTCCAGTGTTTGAACTGGACCTGTGGGGACGGCAAGGAAGAGTCAGCAGCGGGGAAGCAGGAATATGTCGTGCAGGAAAGAAGGATGGTGGGAGCTTTGGTTTTCAAGGAACACAGCTGTCTCACATTTAGTGGCCCTAGAGCAGTGGTAGTGTTGCATCAGATATCCTGCATGTCCATATTTACGATTTGTAACAGTAGCAAAAACATAGTTATAAAGTAGCAATGAAAATAATTTTGTGGTGATGGGGTCACCACATGAGGAACTGTATTCAAGGGTCGTATCACAGCATTAATTAGCAAGGTTGAGAACCACTACCCTAGAGGTTTTTTTTATAGACCCTCACTTCTGACGTCCCTCCATTAACAGACTGTGGCCAAAGGGAAAAGTAAGAACCCAGGCAGTAATCGATTCCTTTCTCACACCTCAAGGCAGGCCTTTGCTGCTCTGCAGGAGGCATGCCAGAGCCCCATGGGCCAAACCACTTACATCTTCAACAGGGAAGGTTATTTTAGGACCAAGAGCTCTTTATGGGAGAAGTTTGGGGGAAATGCCATCGCCCAGAAGGACTGGTGTCTGAGCAGTGTTCGGTGTGTCCGTGTGTGCCCCGTCCGTGTGCGCCCCTCCATGGTACTGACTCTCTTTGACGGCTATCACAGGCAGACTCCCGCAAGTCATTTAGCATCTTCCACCGCTCACTCCCCTTCACGCTGAGGCTATGGGATCTGCTCCACAGGTTTTCTGTGAAGGTTAGCAATGATGAACATGAACAGCTAGTGCAATTGGGGCTTCAATAAATGCCGGTCATTATTATCCCAGACGTGGATTTCTACAGCTTCTCCAAATGCAATTTGTTAGCAAGGGGCTCAGGGATTGCTGGGAAAGACCTAATGAAAGTCTGAGATTTCTTTCCTTTTATTTTTTTTTGAGGGGGGTGGAGTGGGGGGTGAGAAGGTCTTGTGAGTCTCAGGTTAGTCTGGAACTCACTATGTAGCTAAAGCTGGTCTTGACCCTGTGATTCTACTGCCTGTCCCTTCAAGAGCTGGGTTGTTTCTGTTTCCAGTGGAACCGGAAGTCAAGTATGTGGGGAACATGCACGGGAATGAGGTGCTGGGCCGTGAGCTGCTGCTGCAGCTGTCAGAGTTCCTCTGTGAGGAATTCCGGAACCGGAACCAGCGAATTCTGCGCCTCATCCAGGGCACGCGCATTCATATCCTGCCTTCCATGAACCCCGACGGCTACGAGGTGGCTGCGGTGCAGGTACGCAGTCCAAGGGAGACGCAATGAAGACACTAAACCCATCTTCTCCTCTTCTCCTTCCCTAACCCCTCTTTAAACTAAACATGCTAGCCAAGTACTCCACCACTGAACTACATTCCCCAGCCCCCTTTTTACATTTTTATTCTGAGACAGGAGTTTGAAACATTGCCCAGGCTTACGAAGCAGGTCTTGAGTTCCCGGAGAGGGAGAAAGCTGGAGAGGGAGGGGGACCTCCAGCCTGGCTCCTGTGGGGCATTAGCTTTCTCTGTACCCAGCAGGGAAGCTGGAGAAGCAGCTCAGTGCTGCCGACATCCTTTGCAACAGACCAGATGGGAGAGCAGAAATCCCATGAGCCCCCTTCCCTGCCCACCTAGTGTGTTCTTAGTCAGAGAGAGGAGGTCTTGAACTTGTTTGAATCTGAGAGAGGATCCACTAGGTTCTCAAACTTTTCTACCCAGAGAAAAGTTGTCTTCATGGCTGCCCAGGAAGACACCTAGCCAGACTTTAAAGCCACATGCGGGAAAGTGGAATAATGGTTCCCATTATTCACATCCTAGTCCCCAAACCTATGAAAATGTTATGCTGCTTGGGTAGAGAGAATTAAGGTTGCATATAGAACTGAGGTCATTTGACACAAGATTACTGGGTTCCTTGAGGAAGTCCAGCCACTTTGGGCCTTAGTGGGGTTGGAGGTCAGAAGCAGAGAGATACTTCAAGCTCTTATGATGCTAGCTCTGAAGACAGAAGAACGAACCATAAAGCTAGGAATGTGAATGGTTGCTAGAAACCATGAGAGTCAGGGAAAGATTCGCATAGAGTCTTCCTGGCACCACACAGGACACCCAGTGCAGGCCTCTGAGCTCCAGGTAAATAGCTGCCATTGGTTGGTTTAGTTGGTTGGTTGGTTGGTTAGTTGGTTTTCCAAGACGGGGTTTCTCTGGATAGTCTTGGCTGTCCTGGAATTAGCTCTGAAGACCATACTGGCCTTGAACTCATAGACATCCACTCACCTCTACCTCTTAAGTGCTGGGATTAAAGATGTGCGCCACCACCACCCAGTTTATCAATCTATTGCCCATTTGCTCTGCTTATGGGAACCTAGGAACCTTCGGCTAGGCTATGTTCCTCCTCCCCTCCTCTTCCTCTTCCCACTCTCACTCCTCCTGTCGTCCCCGTCCCCCCCCCCTGCTTTTTCTTTCTCTTCCTTTTTGGCTTTGGCTCTGCTGGAGATGAGATCCAGAAGTTTCACACATACTAAGTAAACACTCTTGACACCAACCCACAACCTGAAGCCCAGAAAACCCTTCCTCCATCAGCCTAATGACCAGTTGTGTACAAAACCAACCAAGGAAGCCTGTTGCTCTTAGTATTACGGTTGCTAAGAGCAAGAGCCAGGCGTTGGTGGCACACACCTTTAATCCCAGCACTTGGGAGGCAAAGGCAGGCGGATCTCTGTAAGTTCCAGGCCAGCCTGGTCTAAAGAGTGAGTGCCAGGACAGCCTCCAAAGCAATACAGAGAAACCCTGTCTCAAAAAACCAAACCAAAAAAAAAAAAAAGAAAGAAAGAAAGAAAGAAAGTTGCTAAGAAGGAGAAACAGCGAGAAAGCTGCTGTAGGGTGCACACCATACTCAAAGTTGGATAAGCGTTCCCACTGGAACAGAAATTGTGCAGGTAACTTAGAACTTTATGAAGCGTCATGTTTTCAATGCAATCTAAGAATAAAACGAGAGTGGGATGCCTGTGTAAAAAGAGAAACGCTGAGCTGGGCGGTGTGAGTGCATGCCTTTAGTCCCAGCACTCAGCAGGCAACGGCAGGCGATCTCTGTGACCAGCCTGCTCTACACAGCTACACAGAGAAACCTTGTCTCAAAAAATACAAAGAAATGTTAGGAGAAGCTTTTCCTTGAGAGGAGCCTTCCTGCCCGCCGGGTTCCAGATCCGCATCAGTCCCAAATAAACACACAGGAGGCTATATTAATTATGAAGCTGTTGGCCTTGCTTGTTTCTTACTGGCTAGCTCTGACTTAAGTAATTACTCCATAATTGTTAATCTAAGTATGTTTCTTACCGGAGAATAGTTCCGGGCTTCCTATCCCCATGGCGTTACATGTTGACTCTCTTGTGTTTCTCCTTCCCAGAGTCCTCCTGGACTCCTAGTCCCTCCTATCTAGATTCCCTATTGGCCAGACAGTGCTTTATTGACATAAGACTTCCCCAACAAAGAAAGAAAGAAAGGAGAGAGAGAGAGATATGCTGAAAATGATAAATATAGTCTTAGAGAAAATTTGAATGGCATCTCTGAGTTTCCAATAGGAAGTGAGGTTCATTCACCTCACTTCTGGGAATGGCCAAGGCTTTACCCACTCAGTCTGTAGGGCTATAGTGGGCACTAGTCCCTTCTCCTCTCTCTCTCTCTCTCTCTCTCTCTCTCTCTCTCTCTCTCTCTCTCTCTCTCTCTCTCTCTCTCTCTCCTTTTATCCCAACTCTGAAACAGGATCTCATATAGCCCAGACTGGCCTTGAACCTGCTGTGCAGCAAAACATGACCTTGAATTTCTGAACCATACAAGCTGGTCTGCTGTCTGGGGATTAATCAGGCTTTGTGAATGCTAGGCAAGCACTCTTAACAACTCAGCCCCTGCTACAGCCCCAGCCCGCCCTAATGGGAGTCTTAACACAGCTCTGTTATACCTTTATAATCTCTTTATGTCTCTGCCTATCTCCCTGAGTATACTATGAATTCCCAGGAGGCTAGAATAATACCTCACTTAGCTCTTTTCTGTCTGAGGACCTTGGATTGACAATGTATACGTGGATGCTAGTTGACTAAATGGATGAATGAGTAGGTGAGTGAATACATGAACCAATAGAGATAAAATCTGAACTATGAAGAGAAAAATTAAAGGACCCAGAAGTTTAAGACTACTCGGAAGATAAGAATCCTATTATTTCAGAATTCGGTTTCACTAGCATATGTTAATTATACATAAGGGTTTCTTGGTGACATTTTTATATGTGTGTATGAAGTCATCCTTTCTACCTCCTCTGTGTGACCCAGAGTTTGATTAAGGTTGCTTTTGTGAGCATGGGTGAAGGGTCAATTATTGGAGCACAAGCATTTCACTTGTGGCTACACACTGAAGAATGCCCAGTATTCCCTTCTCCCTAGCAACCATTAACTGTTTGTAAATCCTCAGTAAGGAGTGGGATCTAGGGAATTTCCAGGAGCCTGGTCTTGTGCAGGTCTTACACACATAATCACAGCTGCCATGAGTTCATTAATCAATAGCCGTGTCATGCCTGGGAGACAGCATTCCACAGCCCTCTTACATTCCACCGCTGCCTCTTCCACGGTGTTCCCGGAGCCATGGAAGGGCGACTCACTCTCTTTTCTGTTCTCTCCCACTGCTTCCTGTGTGTGATTAAACGTGATCAGCCAACCTCCTGCTCCTGTAACCACGCCCTGTGTCATGGTAGTATATTAGGTAGTATGTCAGCCACGCCCTGTGTCATGGTAGTATGTCAGCCACGCCCTGTGTCATGGTAGTATGTCAGCCATGCCCTGCTTTCAGGCCCATTATAAATTCACTCTGTCTCTCCTCCCCCTCCCTCTCTCCATCCCTCTCTCTTCCTCTCCCCCTCTCTTTCTGGAACCATAAGTTGAAATAAAACCATTTTTTTCTTAAATTGAAATAGAAAAGTAACTAATATAGTTAGCATCTTTAAAAGTGACAGCACACTCTTGAGATACAGGACTCTGTCTTAAATGCTCATCTTTCCTCTTCATTTCTCCCAGGGCCCAAACGCATCTGGGTATCTGGTTGGCAGGAACAACGCAAACGGAGTGGACCTGAACCGCAACTTCCCCGACCTCAACACCTATTTCTACTACAACGAGAAGTATGGCGGCCCCAACCACCACTTACCCCTCCCAGACAACTGGAAAAGTCAGGTAGGAAGTGAAAAGTGGCCACAGGAGCTGTCCAGTCAGCACCTGAGTTGCTTGCAGGGCGTTCAGCGGTCTCCACATCAACACAGCTATCAAGACTTCCGCATCAAGCCCCTCCTCATTAATTTACCCAGAAGAATAACAGCTGCCAGGCTTCTTTGTATTCTTCCCCATGGCAGCAAAGAGGCCTCCAGGCAGCAGGCCCTTGCTGACTGTGCTGCTTGGTAGTAATGGTGGTGAAGGAGGAGCAAGCCTATACTTGGTGATTTCTCGAAGCTCTTCCCAAGCCTCTTCCAGTTGGTCACCGTAGCACTGGACCGTGCGTGTGACAAGCAACCGTAGCCAGTGTTAGTCCTGTTTGGCAGTTACTATGTTTATAGGTCAAACTAAATTCATATAACTAATAATTGAAGAAATCAGTGTTAAAACCTAGACATGGGCTGGGGAGATGGCTCTGACCTGAGTTTGAACTCCAGAACCCATGCCAAAAAGCTAGGTGAAGGACCAGAGAGAAGGCCCAGTGGGTAAAGGTGCTTGCTGCCAGGCCTGAAGACCTGAGATTGAATCCCAGGACCCACAGGGTGGGAGGAGAGAACTGATCCTGCAAGCTGTCCCTGACCTTGACATCAGGCTGCCATGTACATGTGTTCATGCACACACACACACACACACACACACACACACACACACACACCGTGCACACAAAATAAATGCAACTGAAAATTTTAAATGGATGGTGGAGAGTGAACAAGACACCCAACTTCAACCTCTGACCTCCCTACACATGCCCACTTATGCACGAACACACACAGACATTCTGATTCATAGTCCAACATTCTTTCTGCTAATCCCAGACTGTAGACAGAAAGCTCCAGCATTCTGTAGACCAGTTTCTCAGACTTGTGATGAATTGGATGTTCACGATATTAGCTGTAGAATGAGGTTCGTGGTGTCTTACTCCTCTTTCCTCCTTTGGGACCCTTTGCATTTAAAATCTCCCATTGTTTTTCATGCTTCCTGTCGCACCTGCCTGCGCAGCCTGCATCCGAGAATGTAGCGAGGTGGTCGGGATAGATGACACAGAGACCAGTCTGTTGCTTTAAGAAAACTTTATGCTCCCCAAGTCGGCTTAGGAGAGAGCTCCCCAAGAAAAACCGCTTCCCTTTTTAAGGACTTCTGCCATCCATCTACATACAATTCTCCAACCGAGCTCTCACACACCTCTCACAGCTCTCCCAGACTTCTCACCCTCCTGGCTGGTGGTTTAATCTCCGGCCCCAGAATCGGCCCCAGAATCGGGGAGAAACCGCAGGGAGCAGGAAGAAGCATCTAGCCTTAGGGGGGGTCAAAGTCATGGAGCCCTTATCTCAGCCCTATCAAGAGCTTTATAGCACTGAATTGTTTTCAGTAAACATGTTTTCAGTAAACATTATCTCACAGCTGCCTGCTCCCAGGAGGAAGGGGAAGTGGGTTTCTGCTCAAGGTCTGGTGTCCCCACAGCTTCCAATGGGAAACAGCATTTGGCAAGCCCAGTCTGGACCTGCTGCTGGGTGGTAGTAACTGTTGTAATTTAAGAATAGCAGCACTCAAGAGAAAGATGCCATGAGACAGGGTTTAAGTAGAAGAAATTTTTATTAGGGAAAGGGATAATAAAAAAAGGGAAGGATGGGGACTGTCCTCCAGAGACAGAAGCAGCAAGAGAGAGGAGAGAGGAAAGAGGGGAAAAAGAGAATGGAACAGAGAGAGGGAGAGAAAGAAGTAGAGAGAAGGATGGGAGGTGGGCAGGGCCCTTCTAAAAGGGAGCATAGTGAATGTGCACAGGTGGTGCTCTCAGTGGCTGCAGCTGAGGGCGTATCCTGTCAGGACCCCAAGGACAGGCCAGTACAGATGCCTGAGTACTAACAGTTATCCACCACCGTTCTCAGGGCATCCCTGCCAGCCCTGGCTTTTCCTGGGCGGGATGGTTCTAACACTCCACTTGTGAATATCCAAGCTTAGAGACTGGAGAGAGGAGCACAAGCCTCCACATTGGATGTTCCTGGGTGGATAGGGTCAGTATTTTTCCTTTGAAAATGATAGGGGCTGGAGAGATGGCTCAGTGCTTAGACGCACCTGCTAGTCTTACAAGAACCCACCCTGGACAGCTCACAATCGCCTGTAACTCCAGGTCAGTTGTTCTGCGTTATTGTGGACAGACCCTCACACAGACACACATACTCACACGTAATTTAAAATAATGAAATAAAATCTTTTTATAAAATGATGTGAAAGTCATATTGACATGCTGGATTTCCGGTTACAGCTGTCCTTTTTGCTCAGTTAAGTAAGTAAATGGTCCTACTCAGTGTATCTAACCAGAAGAATATCATAGGTAATTTCTTTATTTCCTGAGACAAGGTATCATGTAGCATAGGCAGGCCTCAAACGTACTTATGAGGATGACCTTATGTGGAATATCCCTTTACACACAAGCTGATTGGCCAATAACTGAACGGGGTAAGGTTAGGGGGAAAGCCAAACAGAGAATTCTGGGAAGAAGGGCAGAGTCTCAGGAGTCTTGAGGAGACTCAGAAAGAAGCAAGATGTGCATGCCTCACTGAGAAAAGGTACCAAGCCCCATGGCAAAGCATAGATAAGAAATATGGGTTAATTTAAATGTAAGAGTTAGCTGGTAACAAGCCTGAGCTATTGGCCAAGCACATATAATCAATATTAAGCCTCTGTATGATTACTTGGAAGTGGCTTGCAGGACAGAGACTTCTGCCAACAACCTTAAACTTCTGTTCCTCCTGCTCTGCCTCCAGAGTGCTGAGATTATAGTCACGAGCCATGCTCTGAATTTTTTAAAGGTTTATTTTATTTGTATGTTTGTAGTTATGTAGGGCTCTATGTGTTGGGGGTGGGTGTACACATTAGCCCCAAGTGTTCTCAGAGCCCAGAAGAGGATGTCAGATCCCCTGGAGCTGGAGCTACAGTTGGTTGTGACCTGACATGGGTGCTGAAAACCAAACTCTGCCACCAGCAAGTGCTCTTAACTGCCAAGCCATCTCTGCAGCCCCATGTTCTGATTATTAAACTCATTTCTCTACCTAAGACAAGATGGTGAGCCTCCCACTCGGCTCTCTGCATAACTCTGAAGAGGAAAGGTGACAAAGGGAGCTCTTCTGTGCCCGGATAGAAGAGCTGTAAGGAAAGGGACTGACAAGAAGCTGCCCGTTTGGAATGTGGAGAAAGGGCGTGTTGAGGGGGCCACATGACATAAAGTGACAATTTCTCCAACATAGATCATGTGTACAGCAGTGATCCCCTGGTCATGCAGCCATCTTAGTTTGTGTACCTTCACTCTGTGACTTTGCAGAATGATGAAATTGCTAAACATTGCTCAGAACACACCCATTAGCACGATGTGTCTATTCTGGTTGTGTGGAGACACAACTCTCATCAGCCAGTCCCCTTTGGGGGCCTGGAAAGACAGGACCTTTAGAACTGACCTTTGGTTCAGGAAGAGCCATTCACTCATTGACCCCAAGAGGTCACCTAACAGGCCCATCTGTGAGGAGAAAAAGCCACAGACTGGAGTGTTTGTGCTGCGAGTCAGTGGGTTCAAGGTTTTCTTCATACTGCCAGTCACTAGTGAAGTGATGCTCAGTAGAGATTAGTGTGTCTAGTCTATGAAATGTCGATACGACCAGAGTGACATTAAAATGGTGCCACAGATGTGTTGGGAAGAGGAGACCGAAATCATTACTTCAAGCAAGTGGTTTACTTTATTAGAACTCTACATTTTTTTTTTGCAAAGATGTCTTAGAAGTTCAACCACTGCTACACTGGATAAACTGGGAAGCCTTTCACTCTCTTGTCCTCTCCCTCTCTCTTCCTCCGTTTTCCCTCCCTCCTCACCCACTTCTCTCTCCCCTCCTCTCCCAAAATTGAGTAAAAAATGACAAAGACACTTCCTGTTCCCACACTGACCCCTCCTTTAACATAACATCCCAGAGTGATACGTGGCTTACAATGGGCCTACGTTGACTTGACCCCAGCACTCTGAATCTAAAATCTCCAGTCCCACTAGTGACTACCCTTGGCGTCACAGTGTCCCCGGGTGTGGGTGCACATGCTGGAAGTCCCATCTCTGTGGTGTGTGCAGAAGAGTCTTACTCCCCTGGAAGCTCCCTGTGCACCTAGTCTGTTCATCATAACCCACACAGTTCACCAAGGCTCCCAGACACTTCATTTTGCAATCGTCATCACCAAGGTGAGAGTTTCCCAGCTCAGTTCTCGTATCTGGAGTGGGGCTTGGGACGTGTTACACCTGCAGGCCCCTTCCTGACAGGATTTTCTGAGGGACCCTGTGGCAGCTCAGCCACGTGTTGGCTGCCAACTTCTCATGCCTTCACAGGTGGAACCCGAGACCCGGGCCGTGATCCAGTGGATTCGCTCCTTAAACTTCGTTCTGTCGGCCAATCTGCATGGAGGGGCTGTGGTGGCCAATTACCCATATGACAAATCCCTGCTCCGAAGTCCTCACCGCACCTCCAACTCCCCCACACCGGATGACCAGCTCTTCCAGACGGTATTGGGAATGGCGGTGGGGCAGGAGGGAGGGAGACTCGACTTGGGCCTCAGGAGGGGAGGGAGAGTCATGTCAGAGACACAGGGCCATGGTGACAAGTCCACAGTCAGTCACGAAAAACAGGGTCTGCTTGGGAGGGGCTGTTTGGTAAGTTACATTTTATTTCTGGTGACAGGCCATAAATCCAGGAATGATTAAACCAAGAGGAAAACATTTTATAATTGCTATGATGGGAAGAACAAATTAAGCTCAAATGAGTCTATGCATGAAGACTAGTCACACTGTCCATGAGTTAGTGGAATGAATTGTGAATTTTGAATTTAATTTGTGCTTTTATGATAATATGTCTATCTTAGTGAAAATAGACCTTGCAAATTAAGATTTAAATAATAATACAAAACAGTAGAACAGGAGAGATGGGTCTGCAGCGTAAGAGTCCCTGCTGCCCTTGCGGAGGACCCCAGTCCTGTTCCCAGCACCCATGTTTGTTAGCTCAAAACCACTTCCAGGGGATCTTACTCTTCTGGTCTCCAAGGGCAACTGCGCTCACAGGAACACACAGCCACACACGCACACACACACAACAGACACACACATATGCAACAGACACACACACACAAACAGACACACATAATCCTTTTTTAAAAGATGAATATAGAGAGATATATTCATAATATATATTTTGTAAGTTCATAATCTTTTGGTTTTTTGGGGTTTTTTTGTTTTGTTTTGTTTTTTTGTTTTTTTTTTTGTTTTTTTGTTTTTTTTGGTTTTTTGAGACAGGGTTTCTCTGTATTGTCTTGGAGGCTGTCCTGGAACTCTTTCTGTAGACCAGGCTGGCCTCGAACTCCCAGAGATCTGCCTGCCTCTGCCTCCCAAGTGCTGGGATTAAAGGCGTGCACTACCATCGCCCGGCTGTAATGAAATTTATTAACTAAATTATAAATTGTGACTATGTAAATCATAGAATATTATTAATTTAATTTGTCCATTAATTGTAGAGAATTGCACTAGTTTACTTTGTAAAGGCAGTAAGTTAATATATTTTTCTCCAATAATGACATTTTGTCTACTCTTATAAAAAATAATAACCAAGCATGGTGATGCATGTCTTTAATTCCAGTACTTGGGATGCAGAGGAAGGTGGATCTCTGTGAGTTTGAGACCATCCTGGTCTACAGGGCCATTTCCAGGCCAGCCAGGGAAAGATGTCTCAAAAAAAATTAAAAACTATTGAAAAGTATGGAGATCATAGAGAATCTAAGCATGTGCCTCTCTTTCGAACACATCTTTCATCTGTCAAAACGTTTTCTACTTTACTCAGTCTTTGATTTCTTTCATTAAATTCGGCTAGGAAATGGTCCAACTGGAAAGGACCTCCTGTGTGGTCTGTTGTCATCCCTTTCTTTGCACAAGACAGACTTATTCCTGAGAAAATGGAAACACCAGAATACAGGGATCCTAGCAGCAATTACAGAAGCTGAGGCAGATTTGAGTTCAAAGCCAGCCTTGGACAACAGAGTGAGAGGCCAAAAATGACTCCAGAATTCCCAACTACAGAACGAATCATGCTCACTTACATAATGCATGTACACTCACAAACACACACACACTCACACACTCACAGACACACACACTCACACACTCACACTCACGCACACTCACTCACACACACTCACACTCTCACACACTCACTCACACACTCACACTCTCACACACTCTCACACTCACACACTCACTCTCACACACTCACTCACACACACTCACACACACTCACACACCACCACCACCTCATCACCTTCTCCTCTATCTCTGATCACACTTCCTTGCACTGAAGCATATAACGCACTCATTGTGCCCGTCCTCGCGCCCTCTTGGCGTCCCCGAGTTGGGATTATTCTCAGTCATTTCCTGCCTTTCCTCCAGCTGGCCAAGGTCTACTCCTATGCCCATGGATGGATGCACCAAGGTTGGAACTGTGGCGATTACTTCCCAGATGGCATCACCAACGGGGCGTCCTGGTACTCTCTCAGCAAGGGTAAGCAGAGTCCTGGGAACAACCATTTCTCCTTCTCAAGGAATCCTGTAGAATTTTGCAGCTGGGGAGAGATAATGTGTGGCCTTGTAAAACCTGTGTTTTTTTGTTTTTTGTTTTTTTGCCATGACCTGCTGGGGCATAGAAGGAAAACAATGAGACCAAGGGGTGAAAGGTATAGTCTCTGAGATGAAATCATTTTGGAATTCATCGTGTTCTTGTACCAGCTGTGTGGCTTCAGGCTAATTGCATGGCCCCATCTCTAACTAAGCCTAATAACACACTCACCTCATAATTTTGATGCTTTAAGTAAAACAGTTAGAAACGCCTGGCTTCTAAATGCTCCGTTTTCAAAAGCAGACAGAGATGGGCTTCAGACAGCGGGAGGTGAGCGGAGGAGCCGGCCCCCTTGATGGCTGCTCTCTATACTGGGGTTACCAACTCCCCACAGCAGGGATTTGCATGGGTGCTGGCTATTCCTAACAAAAGGTCAGAGAACTTTAGCAGCAATTCCCCCACTCCGTCCCCACACCCTGTCCTGTCCCCCTGTCTTCCCTGCACCTTGCCTGGGACAGGCGCAGGGTACACATGCGCTGTGAGCCTTCCTCTGTGAGGTCAGAGAAGAGGCTAGAGCAGGCAGCTGGGTTCATTCAGGAGCTGGTCACATTCCTCTTTTCCCATACTGTCACATTGGAGCCACCCATATGGATGAGGGCTGAGCTGATGTTTGGTCCTGAGGAGAATGAAGAAGAGAAAGGCCATGGAGTTTTCGTCTACCGAGAAGTTAAGACTTGTGGTCCCAAGCCTACTTGAACATAAGCAGGAAGATGCAGTTAGATTCTAATTTCTTTAATTTTGTATTAGAAAGCCAACTTTCCACACCCACCCCCCAATTGGAATACGCTTTTTCAAATTATACTTGTTTTGTGTTTTCTCTCCTTGTCTACCTTCTTTGGTCTCCTGAGAAAGCTCGGCCTATGCCTCCTCAGAAGTTCTCCACTCTAAAGCAAACTGGCACAATCTCAAGAATAACTTGATTAATCAGGTCAATCACAGTGATTGTCTCAGCTCATGGTATCTGACCCTGAATCACCAGTACCCCTTGAAAGTTAAGCATATAAATTTAGTCAGAAACTCTGGGAGTAAGGCCCAGAGTTGATCTGTGTTTAGTTGGATGGCCCAGCCTTCCAGGGAATTCGAGCGCATGGGAGGAAACCATTTACAGAGTTGTCTCTGTAATCCATTGGTCTCTGGATTAGTCAGGATTCACTACAAGAACGGAACCCATAGAATGAGCATATGCTAAAAGGGGAGGTTATTAGAATCACTTACAGGATAGAGTCTGGGCAGTCCAACAGTAGCTATCTTCACACTGAAGACACTGGCACCTGGCATCTGCTCAGCTCATAACCTGGGTCCCTCTGTACCCCCAGTCTGGTGCTGAAGGCCTAGAAGATTCCTAGCGAGAAGATGGTCTTTAACCCGTGTTGTAAGACCAAAGAAACTGGGTTCCAGTGTCAGGGGTGGATGGCAGCAACAGAGTAGATGAACCCAAAACATGGTGCTCTTACATACATATCTAGAGCTGGAATTGTTGGATTGTGTGCTAATTCTTTTCTGTGGTAGCGGTACAGCTTTATAGTCTTATCAACCCCACACAGGCTCTAGTTTCTCCATACCTTTATTAGCACTCTGTTGATGGAGTTTCTGTCTGCCCCGTCCTGCAGCTCTTCAGTCCCAAATAAACACACAGAGGCTGATGTTAATTATAAACTGCTTGTCCAATAGCTGGCTCTCTCTTAATTATTAACATATTTCTATTAAACTATGTATTGCCATGAGGCTCATTCTCCTTTGGCTGCCACATGGTTTCTCTCTCAAGACTCTCTCCGTTTCTCTTCCCAGTTTTCTCCTAGTCTGGTAGCCCTGCCTATGCTTCCTGCCTGGCTACATCCTGCCTGTCCATTGATCAAAACAGCTTTACTCATCAGCCAGTAAGAGAAACACATTCACAGCACACAGAAGGACATCCCCATCAGCACTTGTTATTTTCTCTCTTCACCCCTCTTTCTCTAGCAGTCAGCCAGTGGCTGCAAACTAGTACCATACAGGAGCTTGATTTACATTTCTCTGAAGATTAGTGGTATTGAATATCTTTTTCATGTGCTTATCAGCCATCTGTGCGTCTTCTTTAGACCAACATCTAGTCTTTGCTTGTTCACTTATTCTTTCATTCACTTATGTATTTATTTTGAGATAAGGTTTCACTATGTAGCCCTGGCTGTCCTGGAACTCCCTCGATAGATCCGCCGGCCTCTGCCTCCTAGGTGCTGGGGTTAAAGGGATGCACCACCATGCTGGACACTAATTTATTTATTTATTTTTATACTTGAATTTTGCTCTGTAGCCCAGGCTGACCTAGAACTTGTGATCCTCCTGCTTCATTTTCCAACCCCCTGAATGCTGGGATTACAGTTGTCAACCACCATGGCCATCTTTGTATTATACATGGATCCAACTTTTTTTTTTCGAGGCAGGGTTTCTCTGTATTGTCTTGTAGGCTGTCCTAGAACTCACTCAGTAGACCAGGCTGGTCTCAAACTCACAGAGATCCATCTGCCTCTGCCTTCCGAGTGCTGGGATTAAAGGCGTGCACCACCAACACCGGCTCCAGCTTTATTTTTATTTAGTGTTTTGATTGCTGTAACTTTGATATTAAAAGTGAGGTCTCTAGCTTTGCTCTCCCTGTCCCCACCAGGGTTATTTTGGTTTTGGGAAAGGTAGGTCCTTTGTAATTTCATATCATTTTAAGATTATGTGTGCAATAATTTCATGTGAGAAAGATATGGGCAGTCACAGTGATTACGCCAATCAAGAGAATAAGAAACCGGTAATTTGTATGGTGACCAGGAGCTGGTCCATGCCTCAAAGTCTGTTGATGCCAAAAGTCATGGGTACAGCATTTTAAAAGGTGAAACTCACAACTGCATTAATGTTAGATGAGGGTCAGGGCGACCTTGCAACGTTTGCTTTTGGCAGACTATAGTAGCTATTTCAGATATAACATGACCGTTACCTTTGACTGTTAATACATCTGGACCATGGTCAGGGTCACAGGAATCCCAGATGTGCTGCCAGGATGATGTGGCTGTTGGGGACAGAGGACTGAGAAGCACCTGAGCAGACACCAGATTGAGTCAGGACAAGATGGTACTGCCTTAGACTCATATGTAAATCTAAGAGAATATGTAATGTGTGAGAAATAATCAGAAGTTACAATGAGTTGGCTGGTCACTCTTGGTAGAATAGACATCTTTGAACTGATGAATTTTAATTCCAATGAATGTACAATATAAATGTCATTCTAATAATCAAAGATATACTGAAACATTTGATCCAATCAACTAATTGGATAATATAAACACTCATAAGAAGCTGTATGTGGGAGAGAATAAAATACAGATGTCTGTCACTTTCCCGTGAGCCAAATTTTCAGAATCATTTTCAGATTACAGTTGTATACACAGTTATGGTGAGAGACATGAAGCAAGCATCCATCTCCTCTCGCCTCTCACGTCTGCAGAACATCATGGTTCAGAGAGAAACGGCATTCTCCTGAAAGCAGCACCTGGGTACATTCAGCTAGCAGGCAGACAGGAGTAAGAGGGACAAGAGAAATCAGGGGCTGTAGAGGCGACTCCCTGGGTAGCAGCCCTTGCTGCACAAGCATGAGGACCTGTGTTCAAATCCCCATCACCTTGAGACGTCGGCAGAGAAGACAGGAGAGTTATTGTACTTGCTGGTGGCAAGCTTCCTCTAGACTCAGGGAAAGACACTATCTCAAGGGAGTAAGGCAGAGAGAACGACAGGATTCCTGATCCCTTCCTCAAGCCTCTATGTACACACGCACACACACAAACACGCACGCACGCACACACACACTCACACACGGGGAACTGAGTCATGAAATGGAAGAAACATAAAGGATGCAGATGACAATATGAGCGTTAACAATGAAAGAAATTTGGAGAGAGAGAAAGGCACATGGCCTGAGCCTGGGGGAGCAGCTTTGTGTAGGATAAAAGTTACCAGATGTCAAGAGGTAGAAGAGAGGTGAAGAAGACGGAGAGGAGTGATCGTGACTAAAGAGAAAGATGGGATGAGGAGGTGAGGGTGCTCCACACGACGGTCTGCTGCTGCCTCTTTCCCTAGGAATGCAAGACTTTAATTATCTTCACACCAACTGCTTTGAGATCACACTAGAGCTCAGTTGCAACAAGTTTCCCCGCCAAGAGGAGCTGCAGCGGGAGTGGCTGGGTAACCGGGAAGCCTTGATCCAGTTCTTGGAACAGGTAAGGTCTCATTTTTTTACTATTGTGGCTACAGGAGAGGCCCTTCCAATGACAGCTGAGGTTCCCATGGACTCGGGTCTGGCCCTGATTCTGACTCAGTGCAGTAAACATTCTACTCATGTACTGAATGTCGTGGAGCACTGCTGTCTGTCAAAGCTTTACTGAAAGCTGAGGAGTCTGGGTAAACAGCATATATCTCTGTCTATATGGCATTGCCATTCTAACAAGGACAGACAGTAAGCAAACTACGAAAGTAAATTCTGTAACGTGTTAAAAAGAGAAATGGTATGAAGAAAGCTTTATGGTGACGGCGACTCTTAAACAAAGAGCCCAAGGAGCAGAGGGGCCGAGTCAGGCCAGGTGTCTAAAGCAGGGCAGGGCCCTCCAAAATAGATAAGTCAGCCAAGCTGACATCTGCAAGCATGCCCAGTGTTACCAACCACAGGGAGCTGCCTGCCACTCACTCACACTGGAGTAGCTGCTGCCAAAAACAGGAATGACAAGGCTTAGGGGAAGGTGAAGAAACCGGACTCCGTGAGCACTGCTGCCAAGAGTGGAAAATGACATCACTTCTGTGGAAAGCAATGTGACAGCACTTCTAAAAAATTAAAAATCAGCCTGAAGTTTAGCTCATCGACAAAGTCCTTGCTTAGCAGGAGAGAGACCTGGGTCTCCAGAGTCACAAAGGAAACAGAAATGAAAAGGAAATTATCGTATTATTCAGCACTGTTATATCCCAAAGAAGTAGAACCAGACAGGAAGGAAGGAAGGAAGGAATATTATTCAGCCTTCAAAACTGACACATACCTTAGCATGCATGAACCTTGAGGATGCTGTGCTAAGTGAAATAAGCCAGTTACAAACAGATGTGTATTTTGTGACTCTATTTGCTTAGATACAGTTCTTAACATCGTAGAGACAGAATGCAGAATGGTGGCTGGGGCTGGAGGAGTGGACGGTGAGGTAGAGAGTGGGAAGTTAAGCGTTGCAGCTCCGAGGGAAAAGGCTGCTGGGAGCCACGGCATACCACCAAGTCCCATCTCACACAAAAGATTCATTGGGAAAGATTCAAGAGGTGGCTACCTCTGCTCTCTGAGTAAAAGGCAGTGGAGTTTCCAGACTGAGCTTGGGGCAAGCCCAGAGATTGGTGGGTTTTCAAAACCCAGAAGTGAGTGGTGGAGTGTTACTATTTAAGGGGAGCAGTTTCAGTGGCATCAGATGAAGAGAATTCTAGAAATGGGTTGTTATTCTGGGCACATATTACAAACTGTACAATGTGCAGTATGAGTACTTTATCACAATTTATGTTAAAGTGTGTGTGTGTGTGTGTGTGTGTGTGTGTGTGTGTGTAGGTACAGATGCATCCGTGCCACGGTGTTGGAAATGAGAAGACCGCTTGCGGGAGGGAGTCTGTTCTCTCCTTTGGCATTTGGGTGCTGGGATCAGACTCAGGTTGCCAGGCTCCGCAGCAAATGCCTTTATCCACTAGGTCATCTCAACAGCCCTTATCACAATTTAAAGCCCTTTTAATTTAAGCAAAATTCAAGGTTGGGCCATCAGGAGCTGCGGAGATGGCTCAGCAGGTGAGAGCACTGGCTGCTCTTGCAGAGGTCCTGGGTTGATTCCCAGCACCCTCATGGTGGCTCACAATCGTTGGTGAGTCCAGTCCCTGGGAATCTGAGACCCTCTTCCGGGCCCAGGCATGCACATGGCATGCAGACACACATGCAGGCAAAATACCCAAACACATAAAATTAATAAAAATGCTTAAACGATTAGGATAGCAGCATGACCGGAATGGAAGCAGACCGGAGGAACAAGGTAGAGGGGAGCTGCCGTGAGGCAGGCTGCTGATGGGGACTGCCTGGGAGCCTGAGGCCTTGCTGCGCTAGGCTTTGCGGGAAAGGTAGTGACTGAGAGGCTAGCAGGGTCACTCCCGGGACGGGATCGTGGGGTTGGAAGAGCAGTTAAGCACTGTTTTATAGGCTGCTGGCATGCGTTAGCGAAGGTGGACTGTGAGGACCCGTGAGGAAGGCCGGAGGCTCTCCCTGGCACCGTTGTTCTGTGATTCTAACTCTCCGTTGGCCACTGTGTCCTGCAGGTCCACCGGGGCATCAAGGGAATGGTGCTTGATGAGAACTCTAACAACCTCACCGGGGCTGTCATTTCCGTCAGTGGCATCAATCACGATGTCACCTCAGGTAGGGAGGAAGGGGGTTTCTGCTCCTTGTCTCAGCCATCAAGGACACTGGAGGTGAGGCACCGGAGGAAGGAAGGGTGCCGGACATGGGAATATCAAGCAGCCCACACGGGGAAGTTCTCTCACTTCTGGAGCGAGCAGGCACTGAGAGCCGGGAGCATTGATGCAAACGGAGCTGCTGGTCACAGCCCGGGGAAGACTGGAGATAATCTTACTGGTGTTTCTGGGCTTGATGATGCTGATTAACAATGATGGCATGGAACAGGGCTGAGAAGAACGCTGATACTCATGTTTAGCCTCCCTTCTGGCTCAGGCATTTCCCACGTGTCCATTCAGGAAAAGCTGATAGATTCCTCCTATAGTCTTGATCTGAGGCAAGGTTAGCAGTGGAGGATAACCTTGGGGATTAGCTAGGACCCGCTGGAAGGGTACTGTCTTGGTTTCTTTTGCTGTTGCTGTGATAAAGTACTCCGAAAAAGGCAACTTAGGGGAGAAAGGGCTCACACTTCCAGGGTCTAGTCCATCATCGTCGGGGCTCAGGGTGGCAGGAGCTTGAAGCGTCTGGCCGACTCACTTCCGTAGTCAGGAGACAGACTGATGAGTGTGTGCACTCAAGGACTCAGCTCTCTCTTCACTTGCACAGCCCAGGATCCCAGCCAGGGAACGGTGTCCGCCCACTGTGGGTGAGTACTCTCACCTCAGTTAACACCATCAAGATGATTCCTCACAGGTGTGCCCAGGAGCTCATCCTAGGTGATCCTAGATTCTGTCAAGGGACAGCGGATACCAGCAGGTATAGACTCATGTCATGGAAAAATAGTGTTGCATAGTGCCCCCCGCTGAGTCAACCGCTCACCACCCATAGGAGTTACCATATGTTTTTCGTGGATGTCTATAGCTACCCACCTCCCAAAACAACCTTGTTGGCTACCGAGCAGGCCTCCCACAGTTCCTGCTGCCTCTTCAGACTGGAGGAAATCTGTGCTTCATGTCCTTGAAGGTGGTCTCAGCCCCTTCCCCAAGAGCGCAGGCTGCTGGTTCTCCCCCGTGCAAGCAAGGATGGGAAGGTCTCTAAAACACCAGAGCCACTAAGAACAGATACCACGGAGAGGCCTCGTTTTTCAGTATCCATCATGGGAAGTAGAAGTCTCTTAGTGGCAGTGGTGTGCTACTTGGCAGAGCACCTGGTGTCAGTTACAGGTGGAGGCGGCGTCTTTGAAGAAACACCCGGAATGGAGCCTTTGTAAAACAATTGCTAATCACCCCCCCAGTGTGAGCCCCCAGTTAAGATAATAACAGTTTCTGGACGTAACCTAAACTGTCCAATATGTGCATAATAATACACTGCATTGCTAAAGTATTTTAAAGTAAATCACAGGGCTCGGTGTAGCTTGGTAAAGTATTTGCCTAACACTCAAGAAGCTGGATTCAATCGCAGCACTGAGTGTGTTAAGTGTGGGGCCACACACCTGGAACCTAGCACTCGGGGCGCATCGTGAAGACCAGGTTGGAGTGCATGAGACCCAGCACCATACACATTAGGCGTAGTAATGCATACCTGTAATCCCTGAACTGGGGAGGTCGAGGTAGAAAGAGCGTGCATTTGAGGCCATCCTCGAGCAACAAAACTAGTTTGGGGCTATCTAAGATCCTGTCTTTTAAAAAATATATTAAAAATAACATTCTCTGGCCAGCATAGCCTCAGAAAGCTGAGGTAGGAAGATAATGAATTTGAGGTCAGACTGCATAGTGACTTTGACGCTCACTTGGGTCATATGAGACCCTGTTGTCTCAACACAGCGAGTAGGTGAGAGGCAGGGAGAAGAGAAAAGCAAGATTCTCAAGCCAGACTGTTAGTGGCCATTTAGTCTAACTCTCAGGTGTGTGACAGTCCTGGGTGTCGGTCGTCCAACACGGATCGCAGGACCGTTAGTATAGAACGTGCCCTGCTCAGCCGTGCAGGACCGTTGGTATAGAACGTGCCCTGCTCAGCCGTGCAGGACCGTTGGTATAGAACGTGCCCTGCTCAGCCGTGCAGGACCGTTGGTATAGAGCGTGCCCTGCTCAGCCGTGCAGGACCGTTGGTATAGAGCGTGCCCTGCTCAGCCGTGCAGGACCGTTGGTATAGAGCGTGCCCTGCTCAGCCGTGCAGGACCGTTGGTATAGAGCGTGCCCTGCTCAGTCGTGCAGGACCGTTGGTATAGAACGTGCCCTGCTCAGCCGTGCAGCACTCCAGAGCCGCGATGCAGCTTCTTGAGTGCCCACGACTCTGCACTGCAGTCCGTTTCTTTCCTTGATAGCTCTCTACCACAGTGGTTTCTGCTTCTCTCTGGTGACGTCTGCTCTCATGTAAATTTAGACTTGGGGTACTGTTTCTTCAAACAGAAGTTGTTTCTTCACAGTGGCTTTCCAAATGTCAGGGGCTCAAAGTTTTCTTGCCAGGCAGACTATTAGCAGACATTCCCACCTTTTCTCCTTCCTGGCGACCTGTTAGTGGGCACGAGTCTGTATTAGACCCGGTATCTGGAACAGACTGTAGTTAGGGCCAGAGCACTTCCCATGAGTGACTCCTGCCGAGGAATGTTCTTCTGAACGTCTAGCTGTTTACAGATTTCATTATGCCTTGAGAAAACAAAACAACAAAACCAGGCTCTGGTCAGCTCAAGCCCCCAGATCGTTGTCATAGGCAGGTTCTGTCTGAAGTAGGTTTGAAGTCAGCTGGCTGAGTTACATCCTTCTGACTTTTAGGTGAACATGGGGATTACTTCCGTTTGCTGCTTCCGGGTACTTACATCGTCACTGCCAAGGCACCAGGGTATGACCCAAAAACAGTGACTGTGACCGTGGGCCCTGCGGAACCAACACAGGTGAGTCTGGCTGAACCATAACCTGCTCTGTAAATGTCACATGGCGTCTTAAACAGCACTGTTGCCGGGTTCCTCTTGACTTTTTCTGACTCATCTCTTTGACACAGCCTGTCTCTCTCGTCCTGCTTTTTCCTCTGTAAATTAGTGTTAGCACTTCCTTCTCAAGGATTGCAAAGATAAAGCACAGGACCATAGAGGTGCACAAGGCTGGTTAGTAAGCCTAGGTGCTTGCGCTACAGATTCCCCTAGCAACCCTGGGTTGCATTCTTCAAGGCCATGAACAGGGACCACCACTAGGTGGCGCTCTGCAAGCCTTCTGTGCCCTGTGGTCACAGGCTCACTTTCCCTTTGCTTGCAACCAAGGACCAGCCACCTGCTTAACTCTCCACAGCTCTTCTTTATAGATAGGATGAGAAGCAAAGAACCATTGGCTTACAGCCTGGAACTTTTCACTGTAGATCATGTCAAAACCTCAGAGCATAAAGAGGCCGTGCACGTCAGATCTCCGTGCACTCAAGCTGCTCATAGTTTTCGAATGCTTTGAATACAGTACTCAGTGCCTTTTGAGTAACTGCTGGGCATCAGATACTGTAGGAGAGGGTCCCAGAATTACCCATTTTAGCCTTCACAACTCCCTGTAAGTAACTGTACAGGATCACACAGTGGGGGTGGGCTCACATAGTGGGAGTCTCAGGGATCCCACTACGTTTCCTGCCTGTGTGCAGAACCCTGTAAGCCAGCAGAGCAAAGAGAGAGAGCTTCAGGTCTTTTAAAAATCCCTCAGATCGTCGCCCCCCCACCCGCGCCCCGCCGCCGCAATACCTCCTACATATTGTCTCTGTGTGTGTGTGATTATGATATGTGTGAGCATGTGTTGGGGGATAGGGCGTGGGCATGCTTTGGCATTTGTATGGCGATGCAAGGAGGATTTCATGTGTCAGCCCTTGCCTGCCATCCGTTTGAGGCGGTGTGTCTTTGCTGTGCGCTGCACAGTGTGTGAGTTCCAGGCTGACTAGCCTGAGAGCTGCCAGGGATGTCCCATCTCTGCCTCCAGTGTCACTGCAGGGTCACTGGGGGTCTTGCTCTAAGTGGCTTGTGGGGATTCAAACTCGGGTCTTGACACTTGTATGGCATGTGCTTTCTACTGACAGCCAGGGGAAGAGAAGACAGCCCTGCATCATGCAGGACCCTATGTTTCAGCCAGCGCATCCTCTTTCTACTGACAGCCAGGGGAAGAGAAGACAGCCCTGCATCATGCAGGACCCTATGTTTCAGCCAGCACATCCTCTTTCTACTGACAGCCAGGGGAAGAGAAGACAGCCCTGCATCATGCAGGACCCTATGTTTCAGCCAGCGCATCCTCTTTCTACTGACAGCCAGGGGAAGAGAAGACAGCCCTGCATCATGCAGGACCCTATGTTTCAGCCAGCGCATCCTCTTTCTTCCCTAGTCTACCCTACAATCAAATGCCAGCGGCAGCCACACACATAAACCGTGCCCTGTAGCCAAGCCTGGGCACTGCCAAATGTAGACCGCCCCACGGCCCCTGGAGACCACCACCACCATATCCTTTAAATAAACTAGCATAACTGTTCATTGTGCCAAGTATAGCCCAGAGGCACAGCCTGTCACTTGGATGTAATATTCAGCGACAGTTGCAGCTACCAGTCTGCTTATTGATTGCACTACTGTCTACTTCACTCCATTTTAATTTTAGAGCAGTTAGCCACTTTCCTGGGGAAAGAAAAAAGATGTTTACTAAAGGGTTTCCGTCTTACAATTAAGGGGATGGAAATCTCTCCCAGGGCCCAGAATTCTGTGCTGTCTCCACCACCCTGCAGATGTTAGAGCCTCTCCTCCTCTGTTCTCTCCTCTTGGTGATTGTCTCCTCTCCTCTCTTCCTTTCCTGGGTTTATGTGTTTACAAAATGGAAAGTAGGAAGTGGCCTCATACACTTGGCTCCAACTTCCCTCCCCTTTTACAGAACTAGCAGAAAATCTGGCTGTGGATTTTTATGGAAGAGGCAGGAAACTCAGGACGTGTTTTTAACTCCCCACTGTTTCAGTAGTTCAAACTGTTACAGGGAGGAACTGCCAGGGAAGCCCCAGGGGACTGTAGTTAGGGCTTGGTGTCACTCCCTCCTCTTCTGCTGCCTGTGATGGCTCTAGAGCCACACCCACTGCCCCACACCCAGTGTCCCACACCCAGTGTCCCACACCCAGTGTCCAGCATCTCTCCGTTTGTGCTCCACGGACAATTATACACAGCCCTTAGGTCACAACATTGCCCACATAATACTGGCCTTAAGAACCCAGGAGGATGTGGTGGCAAACATCTTTAATCCTAGCACTCTGGAGACAGAGGTGTGTAGATTTCTGTGAGTTCAAGGCCAGCCTGCTCTACAAAGCAAGTTCTAAGTAACTGGGGCTACATAGTGAGCCCCTATCTCAGAAAGAATAAAGAATCTAGCCAGGAAGCCTGCCACTTCTTCTAACCCTCCTGCCAAGCAGAGAAGCAGAAGGTTGAGACACTCTCCATCAGCGTGTACGGGCCTGGTACCCATGACTCACACAGCCACTAGGAGGGAAATAAGAGATTAAGATCGATTCACTCATCACTCTTGTCCTAAGCAGGGCATACGCAAAAATGTGATTAGAGGTGTAGATAGGATTTTTTGCTAATATTTAGTCCATGCAGCCACAAGCTACCTATCATCCGTGATTGATTCTGTACCATTCTTTTGGGAGATACTCGCCAAGTCTGTTGTACCTGCCTGCCAGGAGAACCTGGTGTAATTTGGGAGAGTCCAAACAGGCGCTTAGCTTCTGCCTCGCCCTTGCAGGTCAACTTCCAGCTCAGTCGAAGCACGGCGTACCCTGCGCAGAAAGCTGCCGGCCGAGGGCAGGGAAGCAGGCCAAAGCAGTCCCGGATAACCAGAAAGAAAGACCCAGCAACAAAGCGGCATCGAGGCCCTGCCTGAAGCCCAGCACCCAGGGCCTCACACGACAAGGCCGGGCCCCTGCTCTTGATTCCCATGTCCACACTTCTCTGTATTGTCTGGACATATTCAGACACAGGCACATCCAGAACAGGTCCAAGTGTTTCTGCCTTCCCCAGGCCAGCATTAAAGGGGTCAGAACCTTCCGGAAACTGGTGCCCCACTGTACGTGCCTCCATAGGCCAGCATTAAAGGAGTCAGAACCATCTGGAAACTGATGCCCCACTATACATGCCTCCAGCAGGGTTCTGGAAACCTCCTTCCTGAGAGTCTGGGTTGGGTCCCATGCCAGTGTGCACTACGTGCCGAGACAGGTTCCAGCTGGTTGTCAGTCTGTCTCCAGAGTCTGGCCTGGAGCTGGTGACAACTTTGGTGCTGCATGAAGCTGTCAAAATGACTGCAGCACTGAGGAGACCAGAATTGCCTGGGACCATTTCCATAATAGCCAGTGGTTTCCTAGTGAGGGAAGGGTGTGGCCCACGGGGTTCAGTTCCCTGCCCCTCTTCTGTGAGCACGGCCAACAATTTACACCTTTCGTGACATTTTCTGGGCATGTAGGAGACATGGCACGCCTGCAGTCTGGTGTGTCCTGTGTGTCCTGTAGGGCAATGCTCTGGGCTTTGCTGAGGCCCAGCTGAACCCACTGGTCCTGAAGGCATTGTTGAGCACACTAGATGTCTTCTGTCTCAGGCCTACTAGCATACAAGCAGATGAGCCCTCGTCGGGCTGGTGTCCTGAGTCCTCTGTCCCCAGTGCTGGGTGTTAGGGGTCAGCCTGAGTCTCCACAGCTGCTCCACTAACCAACCTAGCTTTTTCCTGTGGATGAGCAACCTCCCCACTCACCTCTTGGGGCATACCCCGCCCCCATCAGCATCTGTGAACTAGCATTCTTTCTTGATCTATGTCTGAGCCATCTCCGTCTGGCCAGAAGGAAAAGAGACTCAGGTGTCGCCTCCCTGTCTTAGAGAGGCCTCTCTTCAAGCTAAAGAATGAATGCTTTCTGGGCGGTTTCCAGTTTTAATTCCTTGGATCCCTTCTTTAATGATGCAGCTTTGAGAGAGGACACAAGTCAGCCCAGGGACACACGGTGCCTTCGTTTATCGTGCATGCTACATTTTCCTAGGGTGTCTGAATATCACTCTTTGCTCAGGTTCCCCAATACTAAGTCATTTGACAGAACTGACGTTCACAAAGTGGGGTCACAGAGTACTTGCTGGCACTGCCCCCGACTTCCCTTCCTTCATACGGCAGATCTTTATTGAGTCCCTGCTCTCAAAGGGTGCAGAGACTGTGCAGAGAGGAAGGAAGCCTGGCCCATGGTCTCAGTGTGGTAACGCAGCCCGGAAGACCCATGCGTTGTCATAATTGCTGTGACCCCGTAACTCCGCGGTAGGGCTGAGGAGCCCATGAGAAAAGCCGGCACAGCAATAGTGAAGCCTGAGATAAGATATACTGAAATCAATAGTGACCTCTGAGGTAAGTTTCCTGAAGTCAAACAGAGCGAGGTGTACAGGAGGTGGGGAGTGTGGTTAGTCAGAGAAGGAGGCGAGTGCAGAGGCCTGGAGCTTCTTGGAAGGTCGTGGGTCCTGTGGGGGTGGGGAGGCTACAAGAAACGCAGCGTCTAGGGCTGAGCGGGATGTTGAGGGCCAAGGCTGGGTGTCTGGGGGGGCTTATACACAGGGTAATTTGGGCCTTTATCCCCAGAAGACTCAGCAGCTACCGAAGGGTTCTGCCAATAGCTGGGCTGAACTCGATTGATGATCAGGGTGCTGCCTGAAGAGCTAGTAGACCCAAGCCTGCAGGGAGCCAGCTGGGAAGATGGCCTCAGCCTTGGAGGGGCAGAGAGCACTTCCTATCAGCTGCTTGTGGCTTCCCTGCCTTCCCAGAGACTTCCAGTTTCCTCTCAGATCTCTTCTGCCTGCCACTCTGAGGCTGAAACACTAAAGCCGTTGTAGCACTTCACCCCAACCGTAAGGCCTGTCCTAAGAACACCCTGCTCAAGTGCACAGTGAGATCAAACCACATTATACAGAATACCCAGGGTCTAGCCATGGCACAGAAGCGCCATGCATCCTGAAGGAAAACTGCTTTGTATACAGTTGAAAGTAGGTCCCTACAGGTTGGTGCACTGGAAGCTTGGTCCTCAGGTGGGTAGTGGCACTGGGACAATGGAAGCTGTAAGGGTGGGACTTCATACAAGATGATTAGGTCATGAGCCCCTGCCCTCCAAATAGACCAGCGCTGACCTCCTGTCGGAACAGTGGGCTGTGTCCAAGCAAAGCCACGCCCATCCTGTAGCCCCTTCTGCTTCTGTTGATGGCTTTCTGATTCTCCATGAAGGGAGCTGGCGTAAGGCCTTTGCCAGGATCTACGTACCTGTTAGGATTCTCAGCCACTGGAATCATAAGTCAAATAAACCCTTTTGCTTTGTAAGATCTCCAGCCTCGGGGATTGTGTTATAACAATGTGACACAGAAACACTGATGTGGTCCTGAGGCTAAGGACAGACAGAGTAGACACAATAAGAAAGAAGGCCCTCTGACTCTGACCTTGAATTTTCCTTACTGATACCACTTCCCCCCAAGACTGTCTTTCTCTGTGTAGCCCTGGCTGTCTGGGAACTCACTCTGTAGACCCGCCTGGCCTTAAACTCAGAGATCCACTGTCTCTGCCTCCTGAGTGCTGGGATTAAAAACACGTGCCACTACGACCCGGTGATACCTTTCTGTTTTGTAACTAGAGTTATAAAGAGAGGATCTTCCATACAGAATGCCAGCCTGAATGGCTGGAGTCTCCTATTGCTGTAGGACATCGTAGTTAATGCCATGGGTTTTTAACTCCGACAGACCTGAGTTTTAATCCTAGCTCTGATCTTTATCTGCTATGTGACCATTTAAAAAACAACAACAACAAAAAAAACCAAGCAAAAAACAAAAAAAATAAAGCATGAAGCTGTGGGGTCACTCCGAAGAGCCTCAGAGATGCATGGAGGCTTCAAGGGGAGACTCGGCAGTGGAAGAGGAGCCTGGAGAGCACACAGTGTGTCTGGGACTCCTTAAAGGGTAGGTCTTATAGGAAGATGCTTTTAAAGGGTGATTCATAGAATTGGAAGGGAAAAAAGATGTCAGAGAGCAGCGCAGGTGGCAGAAGAAAATCAGAACTGGAGTCTCAAGGTGGTTTGTATGGGACACCTCAGCAAACAAAGAAGCACGTGGTTGCCGAGTAAGGCTAGTCCTCGGGCTGCTGGGAGTCCTGGACCATCACCTGCTCGGCTCTCCCAGTTGCCCACTAGGCCAGTACCACTGCTCAGTCTGCAAGCCCCGCCCTCAGCATGGATCAGGCGCTGGTGCCGCTCCTGCTGCTCTCCCCGCTGAGGGAGAAGATTGTGGGACCCTGGTGCTGCCCAAGGGCTACAATAGCACGATGGCATAATGGCCCCGGCCTTCCAAGTAGAGTTAGCCTGTTCCTCAGGAGCCGGCCAGGGGCTCGCTGAACCCTGCCCCTGGATGCGCTGCCCGGCGCATGATCACCCTGACTCTGGGCAACAACGGGATATCCCAGATGAGTCTCGGGGATATTCCAGGGTTTATGGTGCTTCAAAAACCTTGAACCAAGTCTGACGTTGGGGAGGCGGAGGCTGCTGGATCTCTGTGAGTTCGAGACCAGCCTGGTCTACAAGAGCTAATTCCAGGACAGGCTCCAAAGCCACAGAGAAACCCTATCTCGAAAAACCAAAACCAAACAAACAAAAAAACAAAAAACCAACCTTGAACCAGATCAACGACTCATTGCGATAAGTATTTGTATGTAAAGCTACTTGGGCAAACACTATACCGTGTGACACACAGCAGACCGCAACACCACTTTAATAAATGAATGTGTGATAGAGAGATGGGAAGGATGGTGGAGGAGGTGGGGCCAGAGATGCGGTAGTGGGGATAGGTATGGATGGGAGCGTGGCTTCTGGTCTCAGGCCACCAGGGGGCTCCGGGCACCACGGGGCTGTCTTGCCCCGTTGCTGCCTGAACCGCAGTGCTGCCAGTCAGCAGGCATCGTGGAGACGCCACTGCTGCTGCTCATGCTGCTTGCCCTGCTGGGAAGAGGAGAGCTGGAGGGGGGCTGCAAACATGATGGCTGTGCCCGGATACCAGCAGTGTGGCCAGCACAAAGGGCAGAGTTGCAGAGCTCTCGCAGGTTCTGCTTCTTAGGGTGCTGCCCGACTGCAGGTCACTCTGACTATGAACAAGATATCAGGGATGAAGAATGGTCTAGTTTCTAGATTAAGCCTCCTCAAAAGAGAGGCCGTGTTGGTATCTGTGGTCCCTGCTGCCGCCAGAGACCATGTTGATGTCCATAATCAGGGCTGCCACAGGAGACCTTATTGATGAACATGATCTGTGCTGCCACTGGAAACCATGCTGAGGTCTGTGGTTCACTGTTGTGGAATACTCTTTTTGTACACTGTGAAGATGGACCTTCTGATTGGTTTAATAAAGAGCCGAGTAGCCAATAGCTAGGCAGGAGAGGTTAGGTGGGACTTCCAGGTAGAGAGGGAAGAAGAAGAGATGAATCTAGGCCTGGCAGAGGACACGGAGAGGAAACGGGAGGTGCCAGACAGAAGAGAGGTAAAAAGCCACGAGGCGAAAGGTAGACTAATAAAAATGGTTTAATTTAAGTTATAAGAGCTATTGGGTCAAGCCTAAGCTAAGACAGAGTTTTCATAATTGATAACAAATCTCTGTGTCATATTTTGTGAGCTGGCAGCCCAAAGAAAAATCGATCTACAGTCCATGTTACTGCCAGAATCCATGTGAGGTCAGTCAGTGTTCCATGCTGCCACGGGCCGCTATGGGCAAGCAAGCTTCTTTGCAGTGATATTGATGACTGCACACTTATAATTGAGAATAAGAGTCACTGAAGGTTTCTGTGATAACTACCACTCTCCCCCCAAAAAAGAAACAGTCCAGCCAAGAAGCTATTGAAGAGAGTCCTTAAACATTTTGATAAAGATGCTGAAGTGTAGTTCTTCACAGTCGGTGGCTTCTGTGGTGGGCGTGGGGGAAGGACTCAGTTTTCTTTAAGGGACTGTCCATTGGGAGTCTGACCATGCTCCAGTGAGCATATGGGCAACACAAATTGGACTTGGTGCATTTTTCTATTTCTTTTCATTTATTTTGGGGGGCACAAGGGTGGGAGGCTGAATCTAGGAAGAATGGGAAGTGAGTATGACCATGGTGCATTGTAAGAAGTTGCCAAATAATTAACACAAATACGCTGGGGAAGACACAAAGAAAAGCCTTATTTCTCTGAATCATGGTCATTCATCAAAACAACAACAACAAAACAAACACCCAAAACAAAGGCATATTACCTGCCTCACCCAGGGTTTGTGGAGACTAACAGTGAGTTCCTCATGAAACAGTGAGGAGGGGAAAGCTCATCCTTCCTCAGAAGACTGTCACTCTTCAGGCTGACTGAAGAGTGCCAGTCAACACGTCAGCACAGACGTTTGGGCTTTGAGGTGCGGTATCGAGCTTGGAAGTGGACAGTTTCCTGACCGGCTGCACGGAGGCCATCCTGCCTCTGGAACAGTTGTTAACCTCATAGGCTAAAACTTTCCCTCCTAAGCTGAATGTTTTATGATGAAGTAAGTGGCTCCTCATCCTACTTGAGGTAGGAGGACACCCACCTTCAGGCAGGGTAACACCCCAGTGCTGCTACCACATCCCCCAAATCACAGGAAACAAACTATCCAACACTTAAGAAACTAGTTATCATTTGACACATACCATGGCACGCACATAGGATCAGAGGACAACTTTCAAGGATTCACCATGTGGGTCCTGGGACTTGAACTCAGGCTTGTCAGCAAGCTGGCTCTACCGCTGAGCCATCTCAATGGCCCTGTACAACAGGTTTTAAGAGATCGGGAGTAGTGGACTTTACCAGAGGGTATCTCTGTTAGCAGAGACTTCAGCCTTTGACCAGCTGCTGGGTTCGGTGCCAATAGTTCCCATATTTGCACCAAACTGCCCATAAGTGGGTGTGGAAAACTTCACGGGTCTGGATACCGAGTGTCCCAAGACTGCCTGGACAGTGTCACATCGCTTCCAACAGGAGCTCTTCCCTCTTCCCCAAAGAGTCAAACTCACTAAACACAGCAGCACCTGACTTCTGCCTGCAAGAAGGAAACGTGGAGGAGGTGAAATGAATCAATTCTAGTCCATAAGATTCGGGTACTGTGGTGTCAAACTCGCCCCTGTTAGATCCAGAACATTAGTCCATTGTGGGATCTCAGGACCTGATAAATATGCACCTGGCCTTGATCTCCTGGCCTCAGGTTTCTAAATCCACACAACTTTGAGAGATGGGTGTGTTGATGCCAAACACAGCTCTTACCTCTGAGAGGAAGAAAACTGATTTTGAGTCAAATATGAATGGCTGCATTCTGGGAACATGGAGTTGCATCACCCCAAATGGTATGTTCGAGCGTGAAAAAGGTTACAAGAACTTCTGTGGTCACAGAACAAGAGAAAAGCATAAATCAAGGTGCTTTCTGAATATGCTGGTAGGACACCCAGACCCACAGCAGTGCAGTGGAGAACACTCCTGTGGTTTCCAGTGACATTTGGTGATATGTTTAGCTTTTGGGTTTGTGGAAGGTATTGTTCTTTCATACAAATCTTTATTGTTGGTTTTTTGAGACAGGGTCTTTATGTAGTTTTAGCTGCCCTGGAGCTTACTAGATCAGGCTGCCCTTGAACTCAACAGAAATCCTCCTGCCTCTGCCCCTCAAGTGCTGGGACTAAAGTCATGTGCCACCGTGCCTGGCCTATTAATATATCTTTAAGGTTTCACCTGAGAGTTGAAAGGATTTTGTGTGTGTGTGTGTGTGTGTGTGTGTGTGTGTCTGTGTGTGCTTCCATGACAGTAGTGTCCATGGAAGCCAAAGTCATTGTGTCCCCAGAGGTAAAGTTACAGGTAGTTGTGAGCCATCTGCTGTGGGTGCTGGGAACTGAACTCTGGTTACAGGTATGTGCTTTTAGCTGCTGAGCCATCTTTCCAGTCCCTTAAGAGTGCCCTTTTGTCCTTTTGCTCTTCTTGCTGTGATTAAAGAAAAAACAAACCCTTTCACAAAAGCAACGCAGGGGTGAAAGCAGTTATCCTACCTCACAGGTGAAGTCACGACAGCCAGTGCTTGAGACAGCCACTCAGATCGAGCCAAAGAGCAGAGAGCAATGACGTGTGTGCTCAACCCCTCCCCCCTTTCCTCCATTCAAGAACAGCTGGAGGGATGGCTCAGTGGTTAAGAGCTTGCTGCTCTTCCAGAGGACCCAAGTTCAGTTCCTACCAAGTAGCTAGTCCCGTAACAGAATCAAATTATTGGAGACCCAGCTAGTGTATATAGGGCT